ACAGATTTGTTTGTTCTTCTGGCAGTCCATGGTATATTCAATATTCTTCACCAACACCATAATTGGAAGGCATCAATTCTTCTTCAGTCTTCCTTATTCATTGATCAGCTTTTGCATGCAGATGAGGCGACTGAAAATACCATGCCTCGGGTCAGGCGCACCTTAGTCCTCAAAGTGACATCTTTGCTTTTTAACACTTTAAGAGGTCTTTTGCAGCAGATTTGCCCAATGCAATGCATCATTTGATTTCCTGACTTCTTCCACGGGTGTTGATTGTGGATCCAAGTGAAATGAAATCCTTTAAAACTTTAATATTTTCTCCGTTTATTATGATGTTGCCTACTGGTCCAGTTGTGAGGATTTCTGTTTTCTTTATGTTGAGATGTTATCCATACTGAAGGCTGTAGTCTTTGATCTTCACTAATAAGTGCTTCAAGTCCTCTTTGCTTTCAGCAAGCAAGGTGTGTCATCTGCATATCGCAAGTTGTTAATGAGTCTTCCTCCAATCCTGATGCCGCATTCTTCTTCATTTAGTCCAGCTTCTTGGATTATTTGCTCATCATACAGACTAAATAAGTATGGTGAGAGGATACAACTCTGATGCACACCTTTTCTGATTTTAAACCACACACTGTCCCCTTGTTCTGTTAGAATGATCACTGTTACCCTCAATGTGACTTGAAACCATGGAGATAAGGTATCATTACATTCAGTATAATATGCTTTAAGAATGCAAGGACACATAATCCATTTTAGGAAGACTGCCATCTCAAGTGGTTAAAACTTTGAAACTTTGGCATATAATGGGTGTCAATTCTCTGAAAAATTCACTCTTGAGGAAGGTCTCCTTCTCTGACAAGACCAGGGTAAGTGAGGCTTTTGTGAGATATAGGTGACCCGTAGTGTTTGCAGATGAAATCACTCAAGTTACCAACACTTTGGAGTCAACTTCAAAGGCTCATGACATGCAGACATTTTGCTGAGGTTTGAATCCGAAACACGTCTACTCTAAGGCCAGCGTGTGGGAAGAGCTCATCATTCAGTGAGTGAGCATGCCCAGACGCCCAGCCCACACCTTGCTCCAGCTCTGTTGTTTTCTACTCTGTACATGTGCAAGTGACTCTCGGGTAGTGACAAAAGTTTGTTCCTTTGTGAAAAGTGGCCCCCAAGTGAGAGAAAAAACTTTCATAAAAGCTGAAGAGGTGATAAACTTGAAGTATGAAGACATGCATGGAAAATGCATGACAAATGATGAGAAATTTAGTTTAGGAGAAAGTCAAGAACCCAGACTTCATTATATTCTCATATCTGGGGCTTGGGAGACATCTGTGGATGTACAAATTTCAAGAGTCTGCTGTAGAACTCATAAGAGCCCTATTTTATTTCACATTCATATCCAGGCCTGCCCTATGGCAGCCCACTGGAACCCATATGGCTCACTCAGACCAGAATAGGTCTCTGGAATCAGTCCATAATGATTCTAGTTCAGCTGTTCCAATCTGCTGTGCCTAGCTCTTTATCTCCAAGACCCCTCAACTATTACTGGATCCAGATCGCCTCTCAAACTTTCCTTCCTATGACACTGTTTAAATTCACTTTTCTGCACAGACTCCCTTGGACATGACCTTTGGCATTTATCTTCCAGGACCATATGCCATGGCCATGTTGTTGTTATTAGCTGCTGTTGAGCCAGCCTCCGATTCATGCGGACCCCATGCACACCATGAACAAAAAGATCAAACTGATGTGATCCACAGGGTTTTCACTAGCTGATTTTTTGGATTGTCAGGTCTTTCTTCCTAGTCTGTCTTGGTCTGGAAGCTCTGCTGAAACCTGTTCAGCATCATAGCAACATGCAAGTCTCCACTGCCAGAGGGGTGGTGGCTGCATTGGCCAAGAATAGAACCCATGACTCCTGCATGGAAGGTGAGAATTCTACCCCTGAACCACCACTGCCTCCACCATGGCCACAGGCATGATATATTCTTATCTACTTGCTGTCCCTGCTGCCACCACCACCACCCACAGCCTCCGCCCCTCCACCTTCCCTGGAGGCCAGCCCTGAGGCAAGGGACTAGCTGCAAAGACTCAGAAAGCCCCTTCCAAACAGTTATAATCACTAGAGAACTCTACATCTATTCCTCACAGAACAGGTGGGCACCAAAAACTCCCTACCTCCAACTTACTTCTAAGCACTGAAAGTCTCCATGTTTCACGTAGACTGTTTTGATGCCATTAAATGCGAGCTCCAATTCCTTTAGGGCTGGAAACGTGTGAAATGCCTCTACACAGGGAAGAGAAAGAGAGAATCTGCAGCTTGCAAAGGAGTTCAAAAGAGAAAGATATTAACAAAGACCATTCACTGGGTTTCTCAGTTAGGCTAGACACTTCATAAGGTGCTTTACATACATGGCCTCTAATTTTCTCACAACCCTGAAAAATAGGAACTATTATCTCCATTCTACAGCTGAGGAAACCAAGGCTCACCCAGGCTGAGTGATTTGCTAGAAACGGCATTGCTGGTAAGTAGAAGAGCTAAGGACTGACTCTTAGCCAGACTGCAAAACCCACCTAAAATTTATCTTTATTATTTCTGACTACAAAAGTAAGTCATGTTCACTACAAAAAGGTCAAACATCACAGAAAAATAAAAGTTCCCTTTAATCCCAACACCCAGATATAACCATTAAAAGTTTCATGTATAACATGCTAAACTTCTTCTCATGTGTATATTGAAACACATACACACTTTTTACAAAAATGGAATCATACTATACACATGGCACTGTGACTTGCTTTTGTCTCTTAACAGTATGACTTAAAAGATTTTCCATGTTAAAACATACAGATATGTTTAATGACTGAATTATATTCTATAGTATAGACATACCCTGTTTATGTAATCATTCCCCTGTTGATGGCCTTTAGGCTCTGTGGATAAAAGATAAGCAAGCTTTTCCCCTTCTGCATGAGAACTGGACCTTGGGTTAAATTTCTAGCCCTGTTCCCCTGGTAACCTGAAACAAATGCTAAGTTAACAGTGTTACTAGGCAATGTTGCTTATGGTAAAAATGATCCCAAATTGGTAATTGCATCTGGACTAGGAGAAACTATAAATGAACTATAAATACCTGAAGGGGGCGCCAAAGCTTTGAGCTTCCCTGCAAGCAGTGACTCCTGTAACTGAACATGTCCCTTGCAGGAATTCTAGGAGCTCTGCCTATGGAGTGTTACAAGGGATGTTGGCTTCTGTGGGGCATGAGGTTTCTAAGCCAGGGTGGCTCCTGCATCCACCCAATGAAAGTCTCATTGCCTTTCACCAGAGCTGACACATGGGAGTGGGTGTGGAGGAGGGGATAGGGAGGAGGGGGACTGCTACATAAATTGCTGTGAAGGCTCCACTGAAGAGGCAGTCCTGATGCTGTCCTGCTGGCATACTGTGTGGGACTACTGGGAGCCTTCTAAGTGAATCTCGTGCCAAGGGTGGTCTATGGTAGTCCTGTAAGTCAGAATGTTCAGTAGAGGCTAGTAAAAAGCCTGCTTGGTGGGTGTTCAGGATGTTTCCGATGAGCATCATTGTGCAGGTATATATCTGTAGAAAAAATTCCTGGAAGTGGAACTACTATATTAAAGGCAATGATTGTTTTAAATTTTTAAGAGACATTGCCAAATTACCTTCCAAAGATGTTGCACCAGTTTATACCTTCACCCTTTGATTATGAGCGTACCCATTTCCCTTCCAATGCTGGCTGTCATCAGTCTTTTTCATTTTTGCCAAGTTTGACAGGCAGAAAATAGTAACTTGATGATGTTTTAATTATTATTGAGGTTAAGCATCTTTTCATATGTCTTTTAGCCTTTATGCAAGCAGCCCTGGTGGTGCAATGGTTAAGTGCTCAGCTACTAACTGAAAGGTTGGTGGTTCGAACTCTCCCAGCGGCTCTGTGGGAAAAGACCTGGTGATCTGCTTCTGTAAAGACTACAGCTAAGAAAACCCTACTGGGCAGTTCTACTCTGCCACATGGGGTCTCTATGAGTTGGAATAGACTCGATGGCAGTCAACAATAACACTGACCTTTATATTTTAAGCCCATGCTCCTGACAGACCATACTGTCTCCTCAAGGACAAGGACCTCATCGTATGTTTTTAAAAAACCTTCCTTAAGCTCAATACATTCAAAACTGAACTCATCCCATTTCTCCCCAAACCTGCCTCTCCCCTATTTCTCTCTATGTCAGTAATAATCCCCTCGGCTCCTTCCTCTCCCCACTCCCCACATTCCCATCAGTCACCAAGTCCTGTTATTTCTAACTCCTCCTGAACCTCTCTCTCCATCCCTGTCACTCCTATTGCCACAGCCCTGGTTCAGGCCTCATCCTCCCTCCCCTGGATAACTGAAACAGTCTCCCAGGTTTCCTGGCCTCTGTCTTCTTCTCTTATAATCTATCCTACTCACAGTTGCCACTGAGCTTCTCTATTTAAAAGCCTTCCATGGCTCTCTTTTGCTTGTAGGATAAAGTCCAAGTCACTCAGGGGCCTTGATGTATCTAGGCCCTGTCAACCTCTCTAGTTTCAACTCTCTCCCACAAGCATCCTTCACAAATATACAAAGACTCTTTAGGTTCCCACATTAGGCACTGCTCTTCCACATCTGCTTCACTGGCCTGAAATGCCTTCTGACTATCTAATTCCTGAGTCACTCCTATTTGTGTTTTAGGTCTCGGCTTAAGTGCTCCTCAGAAGTCTCTCCTGACACCCTGGCCTGGGTTGAAGCCCCACTTACATGCTTGCATAGCATTTTCTGATTCTCTCTGTCATTACACTGACCACATTCTGCTATAACTGTCTGTGTATGAGCCCATCTCTCCCACCAAACTATAAGCTCACCAGAGCAGGAACTGGATGCGCTCATTCCTAAAAGCCAACCATCACATAGTCCTGACACCCAGCAGGGGGCGCTGTGGATTTGCTGAATAAACCATAAGGCTTTACGCTCCTTATAAGAAACTCTTAACTGGCTTAAACGCATTTTTATACACCTATCTCACCTGAGTCTGCAAAGCACCCTGCAAGGGGAGGAAGAAAAGAAGGGAATTATCCTCATTTACAGATAGAGAAGCAGCAGCTCACAGAAAATGTTCTAAGTAGACAGTGTTAGGGCTGGGCTGGAATCCAGGTCTTTCTGTTCTCCAGTACCAGCCTATTGTACTCCAAAAAGGAAATTCACGGTCAGTCATGGATGGAGCAACAGACAGATCCTACCATTAGTGAATGCCTGTGCCAACCAAGAGGTGGAAGGTAGTTTTCAGAAAGAAAAAGCTTACCCAGAGGCAGCAGGTTTTCTGAGGCATTGATGTAAACAACGGAATGGAAATGCTTGAAGTCCTTCTCCTTAGCCTGTAGGAAGGTATTTTAGAAGAAACACAAGATTAGTTGTCTGCCTGGAAGTCTTGATGAAGCTTCAGAGCTGCTGTCAGAAGAAACAAAGACCTAAAGCAGTCCTTTGTTGAGGGCTGCAAGTACTTTCATGTTTCTTTTTTTTCTATCTGAAATATTTCAAATGTACAGAAAAGTATAGCGAATGACACTCTGAAGATCCATGTAACCATTATCCAGCTTTAATAAATCTGAATATTTTGCTGTCTTTGCTTCAAATTTCTTTAAAGAAATACGACATTAGAGAGAGTTGAATCCCCCTATCCTATCTGCAGAGCCCTGGTGGCACAGTGGTTAAGAGCTCAGGCTGCTAACCAAAAGGTTGGCAGTTTGAATCCACCAGCTGCTCCTTGGAAACCCTATGGGGAGTTCTACTCTGTCCTATAGGGTTGCTATGAGTTGAAATCAACTCAACAGCAATGGGTTTGGTTTTTTTGGTTTGGATTCCATGTGCAATCCTCCTCAATTCCATCCTTCTCCCTCTCTCCCTGTGGGTAACAACTATCCTGAATTGGTGATTATCATCCCCATACTGCGTTTGTACTTGTATTGCATATATGTATATCCACAAACCATAAAGAGTATTATTTACATGCTTTAAAACTTTATATTAAATACAATCATATTGTAGATATCATTCTGCAACTTGCCTTTTTCACTCAACACTGTTTTGAAGTTTTCTTGTGTTGATACACATAGCTCTTTTGAGATTTACTTATGTTGATACATGTAGGTGTAGTTCATCCATTTTAATTGCTCTATAGTATTTCATCATTTGCGTATATTACGAGTTATTTATCCATTCCCTGTTGATGCATACTCTGTTTCCAATTTTTCGTGATTACAAATGATGATGCAATGAACATTTTTGTGCATGCCTCTTTACCCCAAGAGTTTCTCTAGTGATATACCTAGAAGGGGAATTGTTGGGTTGTAGGGAATGCACACGAGTTCCTGGGTGGCACAAATGGTTAAACACTCGACTACTAGCCAAAAGGTTGGCGATTTGAACCCACCCAGAGATGCCTCAGAAGACAGGCCTGGCGATCTCCTTCCAAAAGGTCACAGGCTTAAAAACCTTATGGAGCAGTTCTACTCTGCACACATGGGGTCGCTATGAGTTGGAATCAACTAGAAGGCAACTAACAACAACAGGGAACACACATCTTCAGTTTTACTAGATCAGGCCACACTGCTTGCCAAAGTAGTTAAATCAATTCACAGTTCTGCCCACTGCATACAGGGTCATAATTTGTTTGCTTGTTCATGATTCCTATTTCTTCAAATCCTTGCAGTATAAAATTTTGATTTTTACCAATCTGATGACTGTGAACTGGCATCTCATTTGCATTTTCCCAAATCCTTGTGAGGTTGAATATCTTTTCCTATACTTATTGGCTTTTTATGTACACTCCTCTACGATCTAACATATTTGTATCTGTTGCCTACTTTTCAACTGGGTACTTTATTATTTTTTTCTATTGCTTTGTGGGCATTATTTAAATATATTGGATCCAAATCCTTTCTGGTTATATGAATTGCTAATATCTTCTCCAGTCTACAACTTATCATTTGTCTTTGTTTATGGTGCCTTTTGTTAGACTTTTTAATTTTATTTAAACTTTATAAACATTTTCCTTTATGATTTAAGCCTTTAAGAATTCAGCCCTTCCCTGAAGGACTTCTTTAGTTAGAAGGACTAAGCCCCAAGCCTGGCATGGGCCATATAGGCCTTAGGACATTCTCACCCCTAAACTGGGTGCCACTTAGCAAAAGTGCTGCCTGTAATGACTGAGCCTACTTTTCATACAACAAATAGCTAACCTTGTTTCACACTCTTTGGGTGCCTCTACATGTCGTTTGTAACTTGATGGTGTTCACCACTTCCCCAGGGGAAAGAACAGCATGGACACTCCTAGATAGTAACCTCAAGGCTAGCAAGCTCCCAGTCATACTTTGGGGTTCAGCTAAGGTATTAGCCTCTTTGGGATGCCTTTCCTAGTCTAGGGCTGAGTTAGGGGCCCATTCTCTGAGCTAACACAGCTCTCCTGCTTCCCTCATTCACTGCATTAACTAGTCATTGTCTACTTATGTGTTTACCTCCATTTCTGCCTAAGCCCATCCTCCTCCCTCCCCACTAGACTATGTGCTCCAGGGGTAGAAGGGCAGTGTCTGAGCCACCTCTGCGCCCTCAGTAAACAGCACAGAGCCAGACTGGGCCTCAGTAATGTTGGTGGGGAGGTGTGTGAGTGAGTGAATGAGTCAGTGAGTGGGTGAGTGAAGAGGGGAGGCTGAGTTTTGTCCAGCCCATGTTAATATCCTCAACAATTGCACTGAGAGAGACCCCTGATATCTTCTGCTTTGTCTCACAGTTATATGTGAACTATGTATTAACATCTCTGTGGATCAGTGTGCTGGCCTGTTCTGGAAGGCATCTCAGCCCCAGATGACTACATTTCTATGGCTGACTTGTTCCTATGCTCCTTAATTCTGAGAATACCCATGGCTGTCGAGTAGATTCCGACTCATAGACAGCCTATAGGACAGAGTAGAACTGTAGAACTGCCATGCAGGGTTTTCAGGGAGCAGCTGGTGGATTCAAACTGCCGACCTTTTGGTTAGCAGCTGAGCTCTTAACCACTGCGCCACCAGGGCTCCTATTCTGAGAATACGAGCGCTAAATGAAGTGAAGCAGAACCATCTTAAGAAGCAGTCTGCTTCACCACTAATTTGGCCATCCTGTGGCTCACAACCCTACTCCATAGGACTAGTTCATACAAGCAATCTCTCTTGGTATGCCATGGAAGGCCTACAAACCAGGAGAGTAGTTTTTATACAGAATATATGCCACAATATCCTGGCAAATGGTTTGCCACAAATTTGCCACCAAACTGCCTATCAGCCAATGCGAAGAAAGAAACATGATCCGTTACGTGAGTCACAATCCCCGTGAATTAAGGACAAACCACCTTCTTAAGAGAACCAACCATTCCTGGCTATGAAACCTGAAAAGAAATTTTCCTATAGGCTCTTGTAACGGGAACTCAGTGTCACATAGTCAACCATGCCCCCAACAAAATTCTATTGCAAATTCAAAACCATTTCATAAGGCTATATTCTTTAGTTCACCTCACATGGGGCAACAGCAATAACAAATTTACAGCAAATTTTGTGCTGAATATTGTTTCTACTCAGTGAATCCTTCTCTGACCCTCCTTCCTCTCACACGAACAGATTTCTAGCCCTCAGGGACTCTAGAGGTACAACGGACAGACCAGAACAGCCAGGTACCATCTCAGGTCCAACTCTCCCCAATAATATCTTTGCTGGTTGGTCTTACCTTGGAGAACTTCAGGCTGCTCACATTAACGTTGCACAGGTCTGATGGCTTCCTCACGCAGTGGTGCTTCAGCTGAACATAGAGTAGAATCAGCTCTAGCTCTCAAAGCCCCAACAAAGTCCATATAATTTTCTAAGACAACAAATGACTTTCCATTAAGGACAGCAGCTTGGTATAATGGAAAGAGCATGGGCTTTGAGTTGCTCAGAACCAAGCTGCCATTTCAACTCCTCCACGTCTTAGTTTCCCATCTATAAAATGGGGAAAGTAATACAGACTTTACGAGGTTATTAGGGTAATTTATCCTTCTATGGTTGTTTCTTTTCTGTCTTTTCTGGGCTCCACTTCCTCTACCAGGCCCTTTAAAAAGTCTGTGTTTCTGGGGCTTTATCTTCTATTATCTTCTATTTTTTGTTCTGTTTTTTCTCGTTGGGCAATTGCATACAGGGTCATAATTTGTTTGCTTGCTCATTTATTCATTCATTCACCAAATATTTATTGAGCACTACTCTGGGTCATGTACTGTGCTAAATATATAAACGAACTTTCTTCTAATCCTAACTAAACTCTTTGACATAGAGTTTATCCCCCCCATTTTTAAGATAAAAAACCAAGGCTAAGTGACTTGCCTAAGGTCCCACAGTTAATAAGTTACAGATCTGTGGTTTGAACCCAAATCTGTAATCACCAAGCTCTGTGCTCTTTCAACTACTATATGTCACCTCTCAAAATTAAAAAGAAGGAACCCCCAACTTTGAAGCTTCTATTTCTGTTTACTCAAACCTCATTCCCTTTTCTGTCAATCATTTACTTATGGTATCTATTATATTTAAGCACAGAACTAGATATTGGGAAGACAATGAAGAAGCAGCAGAAACATTCTAGGCCTTCAAAGAGCTTACAATCTCACAGGAAGCCAAGTATTAAGCAAGTACTTATAAATATGACAAAGATTTTAAAAGAAAAACTCAAGATGCTACAGGAGACAAAATTAGGAGATCCCAACCTCAGTCTGGAAGTGAGGAAATATTTACCTGAGGAAGTAATACTTCAGCTGAGACCTAAGAGCTGGGTAGGGATTGGTCCCGTGAAAATGGGTGGTAGAGATTGTGAAGGTATTTCAGGCTACCGAGGCAAGAAAAATCAAGGTGCTTTTGAGAGGATGAAAAACAAGGCTAGAAAGGCAGTCATTAGTCGTGGTTCCATGTTTGCTCTGTAAAGGTGTGGATTTTATTTCACAGCCAACAGAAAGACATTAAGGTTTTTAGGCAGGGGGCTGATGTAATCAGACTGTGTTTAGTGAAAATTGCTATGTCTCTTATGCATAGAAAGGATAAGAACAAAAGAGAGGAAGGCGAGAGACCAGTGTACCATACATTGTTAACTACCTTTCTAACAGCCATTTCTCTACTTCTTCCTTGTTGAAGAACCTCAATTTTATTTACATTTCTCCAAGTAGATATGTCCTTCTGGTAAGTTTAGCCCAGCTCTGAGGGCTATGTCTTGACCTGTCTGAGCCAATCATGGAGGTCTCATTCCCTCTACCAATGACTGTTTGGACATATGATAGAAGTCTGACCAATGAGACAATGGCTGCTGGGAGCAAGAGGTGGTCGGTTCTGGGAAGCATTTTCTTACTTTTAAAAATAGGCACAAGACAGCAAAAATCCCTTTTCTACCCCTGGATGTTATTCTCTATACGTGATGACTGGAACTGCTGCAGCCATCTCAGGATCATGAAGGCAATCATCCCAAGAGGACAAGTCAGCATGCTGAGAATGGCAGAGCCGAAAAACTGAGGAAACCTGGGGCTTAGCAAATGTCATTAAATCAGCAAATTAACTTACCCTGGAATAACAATGCCTCTGGCTTCTATTTATGTGAAATAATATATGTCTATTATCTTCTGTTATCTGCGGCTAAAAGCATCCTAATTTGGTTCAAACTAGTTAGGAAGTTAATGAATTAGTCCAATAAATGATGGTGCCCCAGATTAGGGTGATATCACTGGAGATGAGGAGAAGGTAGATTCAAGAACTATTTTATAAAAGCGTCAGGGCCTGAGGATGGGAGCAAGAGTCAAGGCTAACCCCAGGTCACTAGCTTGGTGACTGAACAGACAGCAGTGCCATCACAGAAACAGTAAACACTTGAAAGGAGATATGTTTTGGGACTTGGTTTAAGAGGATTGGTGCAGCAGTTCAATTTGAGATGACAGTGAAACATTCAAGTGGAACTATCCAACAGGCAAGTGGGAACACTATTACTCAAAGATTGGCCACCAAGTGGCAACACGGTTAACAAGTCATCTCTAATGTGGGAACGCATATGTATTTGGAAACAAAGGAAAAAGACGACCCCTGTGGAAGTGTGTCTGCCCCTCCTCAGTACTATAGAAATAACAGGTAAATTGTTTTATTCCTCCTCATCCCCAATGAGAAGTCGACGTAATAATGAAACGAATTCCACAGGACTCTGCCAAAAGCTTACACTACCCACTTGAGGTGAAATGAGACGAACTGCCTCCTCAAACTCTCCTTTAACATTTGATCTGTGCAAAAACCAGTCTCTTGGGAACCATAAGCTGAATCTGGGAACAAAATGGGCTGCCAGAGAGTTTTTCTTAGGGAGCTATGAGAACTGAACTGCACATTAATATTAATTTACAAAATGAGTTTTTACAAAGCCATCAAGGCATTGCAGAGAGCAAATGTGAAATTACCTGGCCAGTCTCTAAGACAGCTACCCAGCCCTCCTCATAAAGCCTGCCCCAGGCGCTGGGTAATGTCTGATCAGCTCCCCTGGCTTTTAGCCAGACACTAAAAAGGAAAAAAGGCTGTGAAAGATCAGACCTCCCCAGTCCTGCCTGCTCTGGAGAGATCTCCCCAGAGTAAAGCAGAGTAGGAATGTCTATACTCTACTAGGAGCTGGAACGGAATTTTCAGTTGACTGTTCCCCATAACATATTCCTCCTTGCCCCCTAACTTAATTAAGAGTTTTTACCTGATATGGCTCTGAAGTCAGTAGACCAGGGTTCTAATCCTGGCCCAACTATTTACTAGCTATGGGGCCTTGGCCAATTCAAATTATCTCTGAGGGCCTCAGTTTTCTCATCCGCATAATGGTGACAATATAATACAGATGATAACATATATGTCACAAGGTGGTTGTGAAAAGAGGTATGAACACACTGGTCTCCTACAATCCTTCCACCTGTAAGGAAAGCTTTGTGTCCCTTCATCATCCTGGCTGTACTCAATCTATCAACATCACTCCAATAGTGGGAAGATGGAGTGGGTTGGAGGTAGTTGTGTCAGGGCAGAGCTGGGCAAGTCCTCGTTCCCCACTAGGACAGTCATCAGCTGATGCTGCCAGCCATTCCAGGATGTATTCACTCTCACCAGAAAAGCCCGGTCCAGGACGTGTCCAGGAATAGCCTTTCGGTTTTCCCGCTGAGACCCTTTCTTTCCCCCAACCTCTGAAGTACTCTTCTTCTGGTCTTCGTGACCTTCAGCTGGTGCCTCATTCACGCCTTTGGGCTTCTTCTTGAGGTTGGATTTCCGAGATACTAACCAGTGTCCTCGGCCTGTTGAGAAGACCCGAAGAGTGAAAGGGGCAAATTCCTCTAAAGCCACAACTAGTGCAAGTACAGAGTAATTGTCTATAACACCTATTACCTAATATGTACCAGACGCTGTGCCGGTAGAGCAGGGGAGGGGAACTCTACATGCTGTATTTCATTTAATTGGCCCAAAAACCCAATGAAGGGCATGTTACTGTCCCCATTTTACAGATGAAAAGGCTAAGACTCAAACTTTCTTCCTCCATACTTTTGTCCTCAAACTCTAATTGTTCCTTCAAGACCCCAGATCAAGTATTTCCTGTTCTGTGATGCCTTCCCCAACTCCATGAGCAGAGCTGATCATGCTTCCTGTGCCAGTCAGCTATTCCTCCATTTGTTCTCTTTCAGGTAAAGCCCAATGCCTGACCTCAACTCAACAGGCTCCATCTTCCCAGATCTTACCATGGATTCCATCATTACAGGAGAAAGGTTATCTTAGGAATTCAGGATAAGAAAATGATAGAACATTTGTTACTTAAAAAAAAAAAAAAAAAAAAAAAAAACCTAAATAATACATGTTCATTGTAGGAAAAATTAGAAAATGCATGTAAGCAAAAAGAAGAATATGGAGTTTACTAGTAAGCCCACCTAACAAAAAGCATGGCATTCTGGAATCTGTTCTGTCTTTCATCATGGCTGAGAGCCTGGCACTCAAAACAATCTGCAATTATTTTACTTGTTCACTTATTTACTGTCTAATGCCCATAGCAGAAGCTCCATGAGAGCAGGGACTTTGGTCCATTCATCTCAGTATTCCCAGGACTTGCACGGAGCTTACCATATTGTCAGTGTCAGCGTTACTCAATGAATGACTAAAAGAGCTCTAGCCATTGCCCCATGCCCACAGAGCCATCCATTCAGACTTTTTCTGATCATCTACTTTATGCCATGAGCTGGGGCCATGGGGATGAATAAGACAAGCTCTGAAAAACCAGACATTGAAAACCTGTGGAGCACAGTTCTACTGACACACACGGGATCACCATGAGTCAGAACCAACTCAACGGCAATTCATTTGGTTTTTGACCCAAAAGAGCTCAATAACATAGGGGGTACCTTGGAAGCCCAGAGGAGGAAGCTACCAGTCTAGGCTCGAGCTAGCTTTAGTAAGTTGAAAAACGTCACCAGGAGGAGACGGAAAAACAGGCAGCCTGAGCAGAGGAAAGAGTACAAGAAACATCTGGTGGCATGAAAGATCAGGACCATGTAGAGGAATAGCAGAGAGCTGTGGGAACCAGCTTGGTGCCTCTGACCACTCACTCGCTGCCCACATAGCCCACTAATACTGCTCAGGGGCTTGCTCTGGCTCACGTGACCACTGCTGCTAATTCTTCCCCTTGGATGCAGTTCCTGTCATATGTCTCACGTGAGCCATTTCTTGTCCCTAGTGTTGGCTGACATACAAGGCACCTCATTTCCCAAGGCTGCCACCATCTGGGACATGGACTTTTGTTCTTCTCTGTCCCAGTCACCATAGTCCTGACTCCTGGAGAAACCAACATGAGTTGGTGTCAAAACCCCCAACGCTGCCAAGAAGGAAGGCCCAGAGTATGTCATGAGATCAACATGAGGGAAAAGAGATGAGGCTGAAGAGGTCAGCAGAATTGGATTATACAGGTCTTGAGGATTAGCATAAGGAGCTCGAGTTTAAGGAAGTAGACTTTTAGCAGGAAGGGGATTCACAGAAGCGTTTTTTTAAAAGAATTTTTATTTTGAGATAATTTTAAACTTACAGAATGTTGTAAAAATAGTACACAGAGTTCCTATACAGCCTTCACCCAGTTTCCCCTAATGTTAACATTTTACACAATCATAATACAATTATTGAAACCAATAAATTAACATTGGCTCAATATTAGTAATTAATATACAGATCTTCTTCAGATTCCACCAGTTTTCCCACTAATTTCCCCTTTCTGTTCCAGGAGCCAATCCAGGATCCTACAATGCATTTAGTCATCATGTCTGCTTAGTCTCCTCTAGTCTGTGACAGTTCCTCAGTCTTTGTCTTGTATTACTTTGACACTCTTGAAGAATGCTGGTCAATTATTTTGTAAAATATCCCTCAATTTGGGTTTCTTTGATGATTTCTCAGGATTACTTTGAGGCTTTATACTTTGGCAAGACTAACACAGAAGTGATGCTGTGCATATCAGAGTATATGAGGTCAATATGTCTTATTATTGGTGATGTTAATTTTGATCACTTGCTTAAGGTGGTGTCTGCCTGATGTCTCTGCTGTGAAATTACTATTTTTCCCTCTGAAATTAATAAATATCTTGAAGGAGATACTTTTGAGGTTATACAAATGTCCTGTTTCTTATCATATTTTTACCCACTAGTTTTAGCATCCATAGATGGTTCTTACCTTCAAAAATTATTACTGTGATGTTTTAAAGGTGATTTTCTATTTTCCTCATTTCTTCTACATATATTAACTAGAATTTTACCATAAGGAAAAGCTGTTCCTTCTCCCACACTTAGTTATGTATTCAAACATTTATTAATCAGTATAGACTCATGAGTATTTATTCATTCTATGGTTTACAATCCAATTCCATCATTATTTGCTCAAATTGTCCCAGCTTTGGTGATTGGGAGTTCCTTCAAGTTGTCTCCCATGTCCTTTGACATGTCCCATCATTTTTTGAGTACCTCTTTACTTCTGGCATCACACAACGTTCCAGGCTTAACTTGTATTTTCCCTGCCCAAGACCTGCAAACAATCATTTCTCTGAGGTGTCCTGGTTCCTTTTATTGGAGAATGGTGTTTAGAAACCAAGATATGGGTGCCAGGTATGCTCTTTGCTACCGAGGTGTCATTGCTTCTAGGCTCTCTCATCGAACTAGGAAATACAGGTATGTATACTAACACACACACATCTCTATTGCTGTATCTGTCCATCTGTGTGTGCGTGTGTGTGCGCGCGCGCACACATGCGCATGTGTAACCATGAGTTCATACTGATACCTCCATAAGAGGGTTTTAAACAGATAGGTGGCCAGGAAGGTCTCTATGTGAAAAATGAAATCACTCTATAAAACTGGGGAAGACAGACTGGAGGAGAAGGTTCTTCCAATATTCCATGTACAGAATGACCAGCAAGTCACATCATCTGGAGTAAACAAGGAGCTCTCTTTTGCTTTTAAAGCAACAAACCTAATCCAGTGAACCCATACTTGTAGACAGTGTTCCATTTATAGGGTCTGTTCAGTGTTATGAGGAGTCCTTGACCCAGAGGAGTTTTCAGTTAGATAAATATTTGATAAACTACTTTGTAGAGCAATCCTTAAGAGTTTAAGCCATTTTATTTATAAGACACATAGAGGATGACACCTCACAAATGAGGATAGGAACTGTGGGCTAGGGTAGACAGGCGTGGCCTATTGGAAGAAGTGGGGGAAAAGCTGGGCTTTGTGGGATGCAAGAGGTTTGGCTAACTGGAATGAGAGCTGGGATGTTCTGGGTAAGTAAAAAAAGCTAGGTGAAGAGAGAAGATGATGGAACACGACATAAATAAAGGAACGTGGTTATAGCTAGCAGAGGATAAGAATGACTTGACACGGAATGCCAGGTTAAGGAATCAGCAATGAGGAGTCCCTGAACACAAGGGAACAGAACATTATGGTCAGATGAGCACTTTGGAAAGCTCACCAAGTCAGCTGTAGGAAGATATATTGGGGGGATAGGGCTGGGTAGGGGAGGTAACAGTAATGAAGGGGCTGGAGAGGAAGGAATGGTGTGGGAGACATTCTAAAGCATGAGCTGGGTGTGAGGGATAGGTACCAATTAGGGAAGTCACCTGACCTTCCTCAGGCATCCGAAGCAGATTTTTGGCTGGAAAGCAGTTGTTGAGGTAAGGCTTCCCATCATCTAGCTTGTAGATTCCCGAGAAGGCCATCTCCCTGAGAGTAAAGAAAAGCAAGGAAGCAGAACAGTGAAAAGGTGCAGTGGAGCGCTCTCACACCAGTGCAGCTGTGAGCCCACCAGGACTACCCCACCCTAGTCAGGAAGAGCATATTTGAGGCCCTTGAAGACAATGCCCTACTTCAGAAATAGGGTGGCCATTTAAATGAAGAAGGGACATGGCCCTGGGTTTTTCAATTCAAATCAACCCCAAGTCAGTGGAACACTAGAAAGAGTATCACCTTTGGGCTCAGACAGACCTGGTTTGAATCCTGGCTCTCTTTCCTCACTCTATCATTGAGCAAGTTTCTCTACCCCTACGAGCCTCATTTTCCTCACCTGTAAAATGGGGGTTATAATACCTACTTAAATAGACAGATGAGAGGATCAAGTGAGAAAGGAAGTGCCTGGCACATAGTAATGCTCACTAAATGTTTTCTTTGTTTTAGCAGAGTTCAGAAGAGAGAGGGCTCAAATTTTAGGGAAGAAAATGTGCAAGTAATAAGATTTGACTGCATAAATGAGATTTGAAGGATAAATTGAATTTGCTGATAGAGAAAAGGAAAAGTATTCTAAATAAAAAGGGCCATAGGACTGAGGTTGGTGGTAGGTATGTCCTTGGGGCAGTGAAGACACAATCTGACCCAAGAAGCAGAGGGATGTATGTATGGAAGTCTTGGACAATAAGGCTGGACAGGAAGGAAAGTACCTGTTCCTGAAGGGCCTTCTGTGCCAAGCTAGGCGCTCAGGTTTTATCTTGTAGGTGACTGAGAGCCATGGACAAGTTCTCAGCTGGGGAAAGCCACGATCCAAGCTGTGTTCTAGAAAGATTAATCTGACAAAACTAACACCTACATGAAAATGGCTGGCAACTGGGATTCCAGTTAGGGGGCTACTGTAGCAACCTGGGAGTGAGCTGATGAGGGCCCATGTAAAGAATCTGAAGATTTAAAAAAAAAGGGAGAGAGAGAGAAACAAAGAAATAGAAAAGAAAGAAGGAGGGAGGGAGGGAGAGAAGGAAAGAGGAAAGGAGGGAGGAAGGGGAAGAAGAGGAAGGAAAGAAGAAAGGGAAAAGAGGAACAAGGTCAATTGGAAGCATGAGTACTTAAGGTGTGGACAAAAGAGGAGAATTCAGAAAGAAATTTTAGACAAGTAGGAAAAGAACTGGGAGGTGAAGGTATGCAGGAAGCTGTCAGGTAAACCAAGGGAAGAGAAAGCTATATAAAAGAGGAAGAGATCAGCAGAGAAGTCAAATAAAGTGAGGACCTAAAATAGGCCATGAGGAAACAGGAGGCCAATTTCAGGGGAAGGGCAGAGTTTGGTCAGACTTTAACTGTGTATGGGAGGTGAAGAAGTACAAAAAGTGAAGGTAGGTGTTTCAAGAAGCTAGGCTGTGAAAATAAAGTTAAGGGAGGAGTGAACAGCAGGGCCAGGTCTGGGGTAAGGAGAGTGAGGACCTGGTGAAGAGCAGGGATATCATTTAAGGAGGCATGCACGCGCATGCTCTCTCAGAGTCATGCAAATGCAGTATCGGCACTTGCCTCAACCCTAGTCCTAGCCCTGGTGAACAGAGTCATTATAGAGCATAGGCTTTGGAATCACACTGCATGGGTTCAAATCCTAGCTACACCACTTACTAGCTGTGTGACCTTGGGCAGGTTACTTAACTTTTCTATGCCTTGGTTTCTTCTTCCGCAAAATAACTGTACAATAACTATACCTACTTCATAGGGTTGTTTTGAAGATTATATGAGAGAATGTTTGTGAAGGGTTTAGAATAGTGTCTGGCATGTGGCTAACATATTTTGACCATTTTCTATTATGAAGATTATTAACAGGATGAGAGATACTCTATCTACAGACTGGGAGGAAGGAGCCCTGCCTTTGTCCTTGGTGTTCCTTCAGCCTAAAATACTCTTCTCCATCTTGTCCACCTAGCTGGTGTTACCCTTTAAGATTCAGCTTAAACATCACCTCCTTTAGGAATAAAACTCTAATCAAGGAGCTAAGTTTCTGAAACCTTAGCTGGGAAGAAAGTCAGTAAAAGGAAAGACAAAATGTTTTCTGGAGGTGACAAAAATGAAAAGCAGAGTGGTACAGTAGAAAGGGCAATAATTTTGAGAATGGGAAGCTTAAGTTTGAGACTAGTTTCTACTACTAAGCTGAGTGACCTTGGGTAAGTCACTTTACCTCTTTGTGTCTCATATTTCTCACATATAAAATGAGGATAAAAACCTCATGCCTCAAAAAATTGTAGGAAGAATTAAATGAGGTAACAGATAGATAAAAAGCATCTTTCTAGACTCCATCCAGACGCCACTTCTTCCACAAAGCCTTCATTGAACCTTCTAGTGGGAAAAATACAGTTTTTGTTAAGCCCTAGAGTATTTCTTCTGTATCTCCTTCATGGCCCAGAGCCCTTCCTACCTCATAAGATTATTAACAATCATAAGGGAGCTCTTCAATGGACTATGAACCTCCAAAGGCTGGAAAAATTACCAATTCATCTTTCTTTCACCCTTGGAACCTAGCTCAAAGGAAGCACCCAATGAACATGTGTAAGCCAAATGAAGGATATGATAGCACTTCCAGGGCCCAAGAGTAAGGGTTTGTGTGTATGTGGGTGGGTGGGTGTGGGTGTATGTGTGTGCGCGCTCCCTATTTAGACTCTAAGCTCCTCCAAGGGAAGGACAATATCTATGGTGTTCATGACTTTATTCCTAGTACCTAATATAGAACCTGGCACATAACAGAGTCCATAAATATCTGTTGAATGAAGAAATGAACGTTGATATCTCCCTTGGTCTGAAATAGGGCATTATGAATTTCCTGATCCTGACCTCCCTCACAAAGGGTTAGAAGCTCCTTCTATATGTTCTTATGATAACCCACACTTACCCTGTTATATAGTACTTACCACTTTATTATAATTGTTTGCTCTCTTCACCAACTTCCCCCCTGCTATGAGGCCTGTGATTACCTTATTCACCTATGTAACTCCAGTGCCTAGCACAGAGGCTAGAACTCAATAACAATTTGTTGGGAAGATGAATGGCTAGATGGGTGCAGAGACAGATGAATGGGCATAGATTTACATTCAGTCAATCTGTCTTTCAGGAAATCTCTCTCAAGACCAACCACACCTATCTACTAGATAGGTGAATGAAAGAGTAAATCACTAGCTGGAAATTGCTGAGATGATGACTGTTGGAGAAAGCCTCAGTAACTTACAGGAGATAGGGACCTGGCTTCTCGTCTACATGGTACTTACTTAAACTTTGATTTTGGGAAAGCCACCTTGACTTCCTTTTTTTTTTGTTTCTTCACCTGTTTCTTCACCTGTAAAATAGATATTATACTCCTTCTTAGCCTGTCAATCCAAAATCTTGAACTTTCTCATTAATTACATCCTACCATGAGCTTTCAACTCCAAAATTTGTCTCCTCTGGGGCCTAGAAAAGTACCACAGGACTAAAGATCCCAGAAACAGATGGATATCGATGTAGAGATACAGAAACATAGACATAGATGGGAAGGTTGTATAGGAGAATAATTTTATGACAATGGGTGGGGCTGGAGTGCTTAAATAAGATGTGCAAAACACAAATCAGAAAGGAAGGATCATTTATATGATCGTTTACATCAAAATAAATTTCACAGAATAAAAATAGCAAAGACTAAGTTGAAAGGTGAAACACAGTCTGGGAAAGTCATTTGCTATGCATATAACACAGAGGATGAATCAAGCTCAGGCTAGTAGGGGGCATACAGACCTGGACACAATCATAGAAATTCCAGTTCCCTATCAGAAATACTAGGTGAGAAGGTGTCTTAGTTATCTAGTGCTGCTATAGCAGAAATACCATAAGTGGATGGCTTTAACAAACAGAAATTTATTCTCTCACAGTTTAGGAGGCTAGAAGTTCAAATTCAGGGCACTAGGTCTAGGGGAATGCTTTCTCCTTCTGTCAGCTCTGGGGAAAAGTCCTCGTCATCAATCTTCCCCTGGTCTAGGAGCTTCTCAGCGTAGAGACCCTGGGTCCAAAGGATGCCCTCTGCTCCCGGCTCTTCTTTCTTGGTAGTAGGAGGTCCTCTCTTCTCTGCTTGATTCTTTTATATCTCAAAAGAGATTAACCCAAGATACAAGCTAATCCTGTAGATTCAGTCCTGCCTCATTAACATAACTGCCTCTAATCCTGCCTCAGTAACATCATAGAGGTTGGGATTTACAACACATAGGATATTACATCAGATCACAAAACGGTGGACAACCACACAATATTGGGAATCATGGCCTAGCCAAGCTGACACACGTTTTGGGGAGATACAATTCAATCCACAACAGAAGGTATGGAACTAATAGGCTAGGAAACGCACATAACACTCAGGTTATATTATCGAGACAGTAACCCTTAGAGAAGTGTGGACTTCATCTGTATGGCAGAAAAAAGAAAATTCAAGTTCCAGACTTGGAGGCTGCCTGCCCGGTTAGCCTCAGCTACCTCTGGTCTCCATCTCAAACTGGAGGCAGAGGCAGGGCCAAGATGGCAGAGTAGTCAGACGGCTTCCTACGTCTCTCTTACAATAAAGACCTGAAAAAACAAGTGATTTGATTGTATATGAATATCAGGAGCCCTGAACAAGGCAAAGTTGAGCAATCACACTGAGTGGCAGGGGGAGAGAGAGATGATTTGGAAGCAGCAAGGAGTTGCCTGACCTGACCCAGTGGGAGCCACAGCCCTTCAGGCTGGATCAGCTCGGGGTGCGCAGTGAGGGGGGCATACAGCTCCGCTCGCTTGCTCGGGAGGCAGTTTCCACATCAAGAGAGATCCGGCAGCAGAGATTCTGCTTGGACACTCCGAACCAGTGAAAATCAGCACTCAAGTGGCTAAAGATAAGTACATGCGTGTGGCCTTTCGCAGGGATTTAAAAAAAAAAAAAAAATTTGGGAAATATCTCTCTCCCATCTATCTCCCCCATCCCCACTCTGCACCGGATCCGGCTGGCTTCAGCGATCTTTGAGTCCCCTGGGCTGGAAGTAGATCCCATAAGGCGCCCGGACTCATTCTCCTGGCCTGGGAGAGGGAACAAATTAACAAACGAAAAAAATAAGCTACTGGCTCCCCTAAGCCAGGAACTCAGGGTTGGCACAGCTCCTTTGCCTAGGCACAGGCATAAGGGGTCCGCAGACTTTTAGTGCCTTCCACCCCTGTATAGACTTGCGTGGACCCATCTCAACAGCGTAAGCCCTCACTACCACAGTACAACAGGGTAAACACCTGAAGTCTAACTTCAACTGTTTCAGCTGTGAAGTGGCAGATTTGTGATGCTTGACACTGCTCTGCCCTTTAAGCAGGCACCTTACCTGTCCACATCAGGGGCTTGAGGACTGGTGGCTCCACCCATGCCACCTAGCCACCTGCTACAGGGGTGCAAGAATAAGTGGTGCCCCCTAGTCCTTACAGCCAACACAGTAGGGTGCTCATAGTCTGGTTGCAAAACTCACCTACCTACTCGCTCTAGGGAACAGGGACACGCTTTCCTTTCAGACACTCAGGGGCAGCCGTCAGCCCCCTGCCTTGCTCAGTGTGTGACCCCCTACTGCAGCCAGATACCTGTGCCTACACCAATCACCCATGCCTCTCTAAGACTGTAGGTGAGAGCCTGCACCACACACTTGGTGACTGACTGCCTGGACACCTGAGCAGAATCCATACAGGAAAATCTAACGGACTCCTAGGCACACATACTTACAGACCTAACTACCTGGTGACAGGATGTTAGAGCTTCAAAGGCACCAATAATCAAACTAGCACACATGAGAAGCCTATTTGGGCATATCAAAACAAAACAAGAAGCTAGGACACACTAAACAAATATAAAATAAAATTATAATAACTTATTGATGGCTTGGAGACAACAGTCAATATCAAATCATATAAAGAGGCAGTCCATGATGGCTTCAGCAAGCTCCCAAAATAAAGAATCAATAAATTTTCTGGAGGAAGAGAATTTCTTGGAATTACACAAAAGATTAATACACAGAACTCTTCAAGAAATTAGAAAGAAAATTCATCAAAATGCAGAGAAATCCAAAGAACATACAGACAAAGCAGTAGCAGAACTTAAAAAAGTTATTCAAAAGCATAATGACAAATTTAACAGGCTGCAAGAATCCACAGAGGGATGGCAATCAGAAATCCAGAAGATTAACAATAAAATTTCAGAATTAGACAACTCAGTAGAAAGTCATAAGAGCAGAATTGAGGCAGTAGAAGTCAGAATTAGTGACAATGAAGATAAAGCACTTGACACCAACTTATTTGAGGAAAAATCAGATAAAAGAATTTAAAAGAATGAAGAAACTCTAAGATTATGTGGGACTCTATCAAGAGAAATAACCTACGAGTGATTGAAGTACCAGAACGGGGGCGGGGGGG